TTTATATGGGAGAAATTTTTTTAATTATTTAATTAAAAGTAACTAAAATAAAATTTTTCTTTGTTGACCTAAGTAGGAATTTACTAATTTTTTTTTATATATTACTTGTTTTAAATTTCTTCAAACAAGTAGAATGCGATGGGAACTGGTGCTGAGAATTTTCTTCTCTCTTCAAATGGTGGCGAAAGTTGATGCTCTTTTCAAATCGTTAAAATTTTGGAAAAAAAGTGAGCCTGGTGTTTGGGGTGAGTGGTCGGATTGGGGTGAAAACTGCAGTGTCACGTGCGGCATCGGCGTCAGGAGACGAACTCGCGTCTGCAGCTATGAAGGCAGCAAACGGTCTAAACGATGCAAGGGAAATGCAGGTATCGATGTTTTGAAGATCTTATTTTTTATTTTAAAAAAGTCATTTAGAACGTTATTTCGAGCCCAGATAATGCAATCTTTTTCAACGATCAACTATCTCTATAGCAATAACGAAGAATATGTATCTCAAGCAAAATAATAACTTATGTCAAATTTATACGTCTGCATCTTGAACAGCAAACACGTCATTAATCAGATGTTTAAGCTCGATGTAACCGAATTTTTTATTTTTTAAACGGCGTTTCCCATTTTTGAGAATATCAATGTTAAACTTCGTAGCTGCGTAATTTTAAACCCAACCCAGAAGCAAAACGATCAAACATTGGGGATAACTAGCCTAATGTTTTGAGGGAACTAACCGGATTTTGTGGTACAGAAAGGAGAGGTTAATCCGACGGTTAAGGGATTCGAACATATCTGTCTACCACTGAAGACATTTCACGTCCGCACTGCGTCAAATCAACACCTAGAAGAAAGAAGGCCTCAGCACGGATCAATTTAGTAGTCCGACGTAACGAACATAAATTTCATAGTGAATGATAAATAAGAAAGATGTCCTTACGCTCGGACTACTAAAGGATCAAATTTCCTATTTATGGTAACTCGTGCGTATGGTAATCAGCCCTTTTCTTTTCTAGGAGGTATTTTACAAACGTTGTTGAACAGCCAACCCAATTTTTTTGGGTTTACGACTACTAATGTTTAACTCCGTAGCCTTGTAATTCTGAACCCAATTCAGAAGACAAGGGAACACCTGAAACAAATAGTGGAGGATTTTTTGAGGGAACTAATCCGCATTTGCGTTACTTGGAGAGGAAAACCACGAAGATCTCCCACGGTTAACCTGTCAGCGAGGGATCTTTTAACTATGATCCGTGTACCACTGAGGATATTTTCAGGTCAGCAGTGTGGTCGGTGCGAGCCGAGTACAGAATTCGTAGCGACCAGCCATTGCTGCGATTCGAACCCGGTTCACCTCATTGGAAGGCGAACGCTTTATCCCCTCAGTCACCACGGCTCTCTAGGAAGTGTTTTATATTTTATAACCGTCGTTGAACAGCCGACCCAATTTTTTGTTTTTACGACTACTAATGCTCAACTTCATAGCCTTGTAATTTTGAACCCAATCCACAAGACAATGGAACTCCTGGATCAGGTATTGAGAGAAATTTGCTTTCACGGAAGACTTTTTGATGAAACTAACCCACATTTTCGTTACATGGAAAGGAAAACCACGAAAACCTCCCATAATTAGCCTGATGGTAAGGAGACTCTAACCCCTGATCCGTCCACCACTGAGGATATTTTTACGTCAAGCAAGATGCACTGTGATGGGCGCAAGCAAGATGCGGAATTCGTACCGACCAGCCATTACTGGGATTCGAACCCGGGTATCTGTAGGAGGTATTGGTCCAATTCGAGCCAGGAACAGAATCAGTATCTTTTCAAACCAGGGTTACCTTTTCGGAAGGCGAGAGATCTATCTCTTGCGCACCGTAGTTCACAGATATCGATTGATACGTTCGAAACAATCTGTATTACCGTCAAGTAATTGAAATTCAATGAATTTTCACAGAATTAAGGAACGATAAACTTCATGCGCGAGTTTAAACATCCCCTGTAAGTAACATGACTTAATATTGAGTTCCTTATCCATGCAGCGGAATTCGTCAAGGAATTGGAAAAAGAGGACACTCTTGTGTATAATTGTATATTCACGAAGAAATGAATAATATTTTGCAAAAAGGTCTTTCTTTTTTCTTTTTCTTCAACGTGATACTTTTTATATTTATCTGTAGAGTTTAAATTCATAATTTACAAAACATGCACACAAAAGTTATTCCATCTGTCAGAAAAATATTCTATAAAAAATGCATGAGAATGCATTGTAAATGTGACAAGTAAATGTAAGTAAATATAACATAAATACGTCTTTCTAAGATAATATTTGGAATCTTTCGGACTTTCGATTGGAAATTTTATGCAATTCTTTTTTATATGACAGGGAACTAGAATATGCGAATTAGAAATATTCTATGAATGCAGTAATAGGCGGTTAGTGAAAAAAATGTTTCGAGATAGTTCTGTTTAAATGCGTATATTTTGCAAACTGTTTCTTGAATTCTTTCCCAAATTTTAACACTCATTTTCTAGCTTAGCTATTTTCGATGTATATAAAATTCTTTTGAAAATTATTTAAGCTATAAGCGAAAGATTTTATAAATGGTTCTGTTTTTAAACATGCATCTTTTAATTATGCATTTTCGTCAATGTGTGTGTTATAATTAATAACAAAAAATACTGCACTACAAAGAATTGAATAAAAAAAAAGCTAAATTATTTGTAATAGATAAACGTTGCTTCTAGATTTTCTATAATAATGTGAAACCCGAAATAAGTTTTCTTCATTATCAATTTTCTGTTTGTTTTTAAAATAAAAAGATTCATGTAACAGCTTTTTTTTTTATGAAACTAGCAAAAAAAAACGACATAAAATTTTAAACCATTATTTACCTTATTTAGCTTTCTTGTGCAGTTTCTTTCTCTTCAATTAAGTTGAGGAGCTTTCATGGAATAACCCAATTCTTGTGTTCGATTCAAAGCTGAAATACAAATGAGCAAACATTGTATTTTAGAAAATGCAGATAATGATATGTTTAAATTGATTAATACGTTTTGTTGAAAAAAAAATAGGCTTCTCAAGTTTATTCGATTTTTCCATTCCCCCACACGTCGGTTAAAGTAAATTTTACTTGTTTTTTTACGGCAGTATCTTACTATATATAAAAATCTAATGATGGTGTCGCATTTTTCCATTGTTGTCGGTACATTTTTATTGCCCAGAAAATCACATGGTAGGATCTAGATTTCCCACATTAATTTTCATATTGGTTTGGTTTTCATCAGCATAAACTTGATGTAAGTCATANTACCAAATTTCATTTATTTATATTCTGTATTTTTTGAGATATTAGGGAAAATGTCTTCCATCTCTTAATTTTGTCCACCAGTGTATATATAAAAATCTAATGATGGTGTCGCAGTTTTCCATTGTTGTCGGTGCATTTTCATTGACCAGAAAATCACATGGTAGGATCTAGTTTTCCCACATTAATTTTATATTGGTTTGGTTCTCATCAGCATAAACTTGATTTAAGTCATAAAGTTATCGTTTAAATATAACTTTTTTTGTTTCCCTAATTTAAAGGTTAAAATTACCTGTACTGTTATATTTACGTTTTTGATTTTGTTAGTTTTCTAAATTAAGAGTTTAAGAGGATTGTTTTTATTATTATTATTATTATGGTTAGAATAACGTAATTCTACGTTACATCAGACATCGATTTAAATACATTTTTCTTATGACCTTATTAACCATTTTACAATTTTTATTTTTGATGCAAATTACATTCATGTACTATTTAATAATATCATACTTAATTAATTATTTCATACTAATATCATACTTAATAGTTAAATGATTTTGTTAACATATTAATAATATCATGGTTAATAGTATCATAAAGAAAATATTTGGATGGGGGAAGGGGCTGCACAAGTGTTATTTTTAGTACATATATTTTTAGTTGAATAATTTCAACTGTTTTATTCCAAGAAGCAGAAATTATTGTGAAGCAATCATCGGGGTTAGTGAGCCTCAGCGAACAGGGGGCTTATCCCCCTAGTATATTACTACAAGTTTAATATTTAATAATTCTCGAAATAGTTATTGAATGTTTATTGCTCTTTAGTTCATTGTCCTCCCTGCACCTTTTGTTTGCATTTATCCGTTATTTAAAGCTTTTAAGCTTTTGCACATCCAAACAATGTGTAACGTAAAGCTGAACCCCCCAAACAGCCCTTACGATGTTTACTAAAAAACTATTAAAGATAAAATATTGGGTCAATATTATGAAAAAGAACATTCGAAACCTCGTTAGCAATGTGATGTATTACAGGCGATGAATCTATAAGCACTCTTTGTTTTCTATATTGCATCAATCAAAAAGTGCTACTAATTTAACACCACGCATGATGAATTACGCAGATCGGTTACTTTTACTCAATGAATAAATCTATTGTGTATAAATGTTTCAAGTAAAACAATGTCACATTTCGAGTAATGAATGCCTTACAATTAAGCAGACAAAAGTAAATAAATACGATATCTTAGGGGCTGTAAAGAAAGTACTAATAATTTATTAAAAATGCGCCGTAACTGTTTGGATGCTCAGCTGAACGTTAAATGTGTTTTGTCTTACCTTACCACTCGCCTTGTTAACCTTAGAAACTGGAAATTTTAGAGGTGCGTAGATAAGACTAGTAAGACTATAAGAAGTGATAAGACTTTTCTTCAACGTGATAAGACAATACTTGATCCAGGTGTTCCCTGGTCTTCTGGATTGGGTCAAAATTACAAGACTACGGAATTGAGCATTAGCTGTCGTAAACCCCAAAAATAGGTCGGCTGTTCTATGACGGTTACCAAATGAAATAAAATATTGCTCGACAATGAAAACATGTTGTTTAATTTTGATTAAATTTGAACTGACCTAGAAAAAACAAAAATCTTTGCTTGAATCGACAAATTTCCTTACTATCTAGGAAAAAATTGATTTAATTATGGTTTGCAGGTGATCTTAAGAATTGTGACACTGAACTAACGTGCCCTGTTCATGGAGGGTGGAGTAAGTGGGAGTCAAGAGAAGACTGTTCAGCTTCGTGTGGGGGAGGAGTGGGCATAAGGAAAAGGAGCTGCACCAATCCGGAACCGGCGTTTGGAGGTATAAAATGTAACGGATCCGCCGAAGAATACGGTGCATGTAACCAACACAAATGTCCGGATCAAGTATATACCCTCTCTCCCACCACTTATCAACTTTTAATGTCTTCCTTGAAAGAAGTAGGTTGATCGCAATAATAATCTTGATCTATCTCGTCATTTTCTTGAATGATGCCATAACAATCACGAAGCAGGTCATAATAATCGTTAAGTATGTCATAATAATAATCATGAAATATGTCATAATATCAGTCTTGATTCATGTCATAATAATAATCTTGAATTATGTCGTAATAATAATAATCTTAAATTATGTCATAATAATAATAATCTTAAATTATGTCATAATAATAATCGGTCGTGAGAAAATAAACAATTATAATCACTTTGATAAGGTTTACGGCACTCTAAGTGAGCACCCAAAATATTGGTCGACGGTGGCCATAGGATGTTTTTAATACAGAGAGAAATAAAAATCGCACATTCTGCTAAGCATGTGCGTCATTCCTTTTAACATTTCGACAGTTACATCACGTGTTATAGGGGATAATCGCCCCATGTTGTTTAACGTGCACCCTTGATATAATTCTATAGAGTGCTTATTCTGGTAATTATATTAGTAGAGGCAAAATTGATTATTCAAACACAAAACATGTTCCTTCTAAAGAAGTTAAATCTAGTTAATTATGTTTCGAATAACCGAACATAATAACATTAGGGTTCTAATATTTCAAACACAAAACATATTCCTTCTAATGAAGTTAATAGTTTATTACGATTCGAATAACCAAACATAATAACCAATAGGATTCGAATAATTCTAACGCAAAAAATTTTCTTTCTAGTGCAGTTAAATCTAATTTATTATGGTTCGAATAACTAAACATAGTGACCTTAGGGTTCGAATAATTCTAACACAAAACATGTTCTTTCTAATGAAGTTAAATCTAGTTAATTATGGTTCGAATAATCTAGTATTCAAATCTCTAATTAAAAGGTAGAATTTAAGTAGTAATCCTATTTACTTTCACAACTGAGGTCCATAATAGCGGTAACATTTTTGTTCCTTTACTTTGCTATACAACCTCAACAAGTTTACTGGGTAATGTTTCATCGCTGGTGAATACGAATGCTGATTCCGGGGCCTCCACCGATCACAGTGCTGGCGTAAAATACTCACAGCTGTGGATAGATCACGTGCTGGAGTCCCTTTGCCATCGGGCTAGCCAGAGGATATTTTCGTGGTTTTCATCTCCGTGTGGCACAAATGCGGGTTAGTACCACCAAAAAGTCTTCTGAGGAGACTAATTTTGCTTCATTGCTTGATCCAAGAGCTCCCTTGTCTTCTGCGTTGAGTTCAAAACGACAAAGCTACAGAGATGAATATTGATAGTCGTAAACCCAAAAATGGGTCGGTTGTTGAATAGCGGATTTAAAGTAAAATAAGCCTGCGATCTGAACATAGTTGTTATTTTAAGAAAAGAGAGAATTTTTAATTTATAAACAACACGTTGCGAAAACAAGAGGTAACAATCTAACAAACTTAACGAGAAACGCAAATCTAGAGAGAGAAATTTTTCTAGTTGCCAATATAAACTCTTTAAGTTATTTATCGTGGTGTAAGAGAGCTGGAAGTTAAAAATGATCGATTATAGAGGCTTGGCGTCTTCATGATTTAGGGAGACAAACATAAGCCTCCTGCAGCTGATACTGATGGTGATGCATTGTTCAATATTCATTAGAAGGTTATAAATTAATTTGAATCGACGATGAACTTACTATTCAATGTTAAAGGAAGCCAAATGATGGGTTAAGAATATTTTGCCAGGAAACGGATTTATGGAAAATAATTTCCCGCCAGTGGTTTAAAGAGATAATATTTCTTTTATTAATGAAGAGTTATTTCTCTACTCTCATAAAAATTGGTTTAACATTTATCGATACTTTGAATACGGCGCGAATTTGCTGAAACTTTAATAAAGTGTTAAAATGAACTGTACATTTGTGCAAACATAATCAAGTGTAAGAAGTACGGTACTTTAAGAGTGTAGCCCATTTAAGGGCGGGCGTAAAAACCTATTACTACAATGATTATACAAGTTATTTTGGTAAATTTTGTACGCCTCCCTAGCACACAATGGTACTCCGCCCATCACTAGGTACAGAGCCGGGTGGCTCAGGAAATAGAGGGCTCGAAGGGAACAGGGTTCGAATTCCGGCGATGGCTGTTTCATACGAATTCTGCACCCGCCTCGAACAGACCACAGGTCTGATGTAAAAGATCCTCAGTGGTAGCCGGTACTTTGTTTACGTCGCACTAGAGCTGCATAATGGGCTATTGGTGATGGTCTGGGAAACATCCCTGATGATGATCCGAAGAAATGCCATTGCAATTTTGATCCTCTGAGGAGGGGTTGGCTCCCATAATTTGGTAGTGCGACGACTGAGTGCGAAGTCGCATTTTACTGTAGAACATTTTAATGAGGACCCATACCGTCCACCCTCGGTCCCTACGCAAGCTGATCAAACTGGGCACCCACCCGCTTACTGATCGTAGGCAGTGATGCCTGACTTCGGTTTTCAACTGTGAAACAGGTCTTTATGATTAGTCTACTGCTGGACCAGTAGTAGATGGATCATGGCTTAGAGTCTTCTTGCCGTCAGGCTAACCATGGATTGTTTTCGTGGTTTTCCTCTCCATGCAACGCAAATGCGTGCTAGTTCCATCAAAAAGTCCTCTATGAAGATTAATTTCTCCCAATACTTGATCCAGGAGTTCTCTTGTCTTCTGGATTGGGTTCAAAAGTACAAGGTTACGGAGTGGATTATTGGTAGTCGTAAACTGAAAATTTGGTCTGCTGTTCAACGACAGTCATGAGATGAGATCACGAGGTACAATGGATAAAGCATTATTAGCTTCTATAAAAGTTCGGTAACTTTCTTAAACTACTCGAAACGGAGTAGCACCATGTTATGTTGGCGAAAACTTGAACGATACTATGGTTCAACACGCTGAAACGTGTACAAAATCTGTAGAAAAAATATGTTTTAAATTGCCGATCTAGAAGCCAGATACGCGGTTATCAATACTCAACATAGTTATTTTAGGGACAAAATTTCGGAACAAACTCACTTTAATGGAGGATTTCCTAAGTGAAACTAATCATTTGCTGGAGAGGAAAACTTTCTCTCGGTAAGTCCAAAGAAAAGGAAACTTCGCCACGAGTTCTATTGTGCTTTTTATGGGTTGTAATATAACAGTTGTACTTACTTTCCATTATACAAACTTATAGTTTTCGTCTCGGTAAATAAGTTCAACGTATTGCTTGTTGATAAAAATAACATTTCAAACTATATATATAAAAATCTAATGATGGTGTCCCATTTTTCCATTGTTGACGGTGCATTTTTATTGCCCGGAAAATTAAACGGTAGGATCCAGTGTGCAGCATAAATTTGCCAAATAGAGTTGCACGCTTTATATGATTAAGTTTTTAATATTTGTAAAGTAAAAGAAATTCAAATCTATAATTTTATGCTACTATCGCAAACTTTAAGCTGGTTTTTTCAAAAAGTAATATATTAAGGAAATGAAATCAGACAGAAATTTAAATAATATAGTCTGCAAAGATCCATTTTTCAAATGTAGCAATTAGAAGACTGGCTTTCTAAGCATCATCCAGAATTTTTGCCAGTATGGCATTAAAAATTTCCAATCCTGAATTCTCTACAAAATCAATGTTGCATGACACTGATATTCAACAGTTTTTTCATCACAAAAATGGTGGAAAATTATGGCAAAAAAGGGGAAAAAATTCCAAGTTTCCACAAAAGCATCCACAGCATCCTCTACCTCCATTGAAAGACACTTTTCAACTTTCAGTTTAGTGCGAAGTAAACTAAGAAATAGATTAGGAATAGATAAAGCTACAAAACTCGTAAAAGTGTATCGCCATTTAAGAGAGAAATGTGGACTTAATCTGGTGTATAATAATGATAAATAAAAAAATTTGACCTTTTTTCAAGTTAACTCTTAACATCTGTTGACAATTTTTAACTATTTGGAGAAAGTTTATCATCATTAAAAAATAGTTACCCTTTTTAAATATTATTTTTAAGATTTCATTTGAATATAATTTATTCTGATTCTTTTAATCATATGTTTAAAAAAAATTGATAAGAAACAAAAAAAATTTTTTTGCTAAGTAATACATTACGAAATTTAAACAATTTTATTTTCTGGTTTTTAAAAAAATTAAAAATATAAAGTTAAAATTATTTGTCTATAAATGAAGTCTTTTTCCTAAGGTTAAATATTTGAAAAAAAATGGGACAAGTAATAAAAAATGAATGGACAAGAAAAAAATGGGACAAGTAATTTCAATTTCACTTTCTATTAATCTTATTATAAAAACCTGGAAGACCATTAAACATTTATTTCAGTTTTATTTTATTAAAGTTAAAAGTCAGAGGAAATTTTAGTTCTTACTGATTATAAATATTTACTGATTATAAATTTATAATAGGTAATATATACATGCTTAATAAATATTGTAAATAAATGTGTGGGAAAACAAAAAGATTAATGAACTTGTTCCTTTTATATCATTGTTGTATTTATATTTTATAATGCTTGAGTTAAAAATTGTGGAACTTTATGTATTTAAGAATAAAGATTCAAATATGTATTAGTGATAATGCATTATTTAAACTTATTTTAATTTTGCTATATGTACTTTAGATTAACTTTTTGGATTCATTTCTATTTTTAAGCTTATACAACACTATTTAGTAAATAAAAATATTTACACAGTAAAACTTAAAAGTTCATGCTTACTAAAAGAAAAAACTCAATTTCCCCCTGGTTTTTTCAAATAAAACCCAGGAGGGTTGGGTTTTTTCAAACCCTGCTATTATTACGTTCTCAATTTCGCTTGTTTTCTAAATTAAGAGTTTAAGAGGATTGTTATTATTATTATTAGAATAACATAATTCTTCGTTACATTTTAAGATGAAGTTATTTAAATCGGTTTCCGATCTTATTAACATTATTACATTGTACAATTATTATTTTTTAGTGCAAGTTACATTAAAATATTAATATGAATTACGGTTAAAGAGATTTGTTAAATGACTTAGAACTTAACTTAAACTTCATGCACGAAGAACATGAACATTGTATATAAAATATATCCGCCCGTTTGGTAAACAAAACTATTAAATTACAGTTGTAAAAAAATGTTCACTAATAGATCTAAATAGTATCCTAAGGGAAATATTTGAACGTGTATTGTGGTAGCACAAGTGTTCTTTTCAGTACATGCATGTTTAGTTGAATGATTGCAACTGTTTTCTGCCGAGAAACAACAATTATTGCAAAGCAATCATCGGGGTCGGTGAGCGTCAGCAAACAGGGGGCTCAGTCCCCTAGTAAATATATAATATTCCTCGATTAAACCATTTCTATTAAAATTGTAAAATTATCCCCAAAATCAATGTTCAATTCAAAATAATTTTTCAATAATTTATCTTTCAGTAAAACCTATTATTTATTGACGACTAATGGTTAGTTAATTGTAAATTGTTGTATTAATTACTTTTTATGCTTCGTTACTTACTTATCGACAAATTAAAATATTCAATTTTAAATAAGAATTAAATTCGTTAAACTAACTATTAATAATAATAAAAGTAATATTTTTTAATAATTTTATAACTTAACTATCCCATTTTTTATTCAAATTCTTTAAATTTACATTATGGCACACTCACCAAATTGGAAATTTTTTAAAATTGTTTATTAACTTTTTAAATATTTAAGAGATTTTTCCGTTTCAAAGGCCAGGCAAATTATTTTCCGCACGATTATTTATATAGTTTAAAAATTAAAGCGTTATTTTGAGTTTAAGTCACACAAAGGAAATTTCTTTTTTATTTTTCTTCACGAAAGAACATCGAAAAACACTCTTAAAAGCTTGTTTGCTTATAAAACACCTTAACGTTTTTTTAAAGAGCGTTTTTCAAAAAGCTAAAGAAAATCGGAGCTTAAACTAAAAGTAAAGCATTAACTTTACACTATAAGATAGATCTTAGGAAAAGACGAGCTCAGATTTTTATTAAAAAAAAAAATGCTTACATCATGCGTTGTGGGACATTTTCTTTAAGCACATTTTCAGCGAGCAAGTTAAAATGACTTGAACTAATATTTAACTTATATTTCCTTACTCACATACGTAAGTTGTCTAAGAAAATTTAGTTTCAAGAATTTTAGATATAAGTTCTTTTTTTTCAGACTCCGTTAAGCTATGAGGAAGCAGTTAACACAACACTCCGGATTCCATGCAAGCCGGAGTTATCCTCTAGAATATTCGACGAGTATCCAGAATCAATCCTTCTGTGGACTAAAAACGGAAAACTCCTGAGTCTGGGTGAAAACAGGATTTCACTTTTAGCGCTGACCATTATTGAACTGAAAGACTCCGACAGTGGGGTGTATGTTTGCAGCATGCGCTATGCTCCGGATGTGATAAAGATCTTGGCTATTGCTTCCATTGCAGTGATTCCATCTTCGCCAAATTTCATGGTAGCCGAAGGTGAGAAAGCAATTCTAACCTGCAATGGATTNATACTTTGTTTTTTAAAACGATTTGTAAGAGAAGTAAGTAATTTATCAGTCTGGCGTCGAGACTGAAAGGAAACATATTGACTTCTAATAGAAGATGTCATTTTCCTCGCTCGAAGAAAATATTTTCAGAGGAAATATCTTACGTCTGAAAGTGACTGTTTCTGTTTCGAATTGAATATTTATTTTAGACTCTGCAATAAATTACTTTTTAATTTGCCGAAAATAATCGTCTGAACTTTAAAACGGGTAAGTAGTTTAAATATTCCATAAAATTATTATTTCATTTAAATAGTAATCATTAACATCAAAGAAATAATTCCAAATACTTTTTTAACACCCAACCAATTCAGTGTTTTAGCAATGTTTAAGAAAAATAATGTTAAAGAATAATAATGTTAAAGAACATAATGTTAACGAAAAATAAGATCACAAAAGCTTTTCATTTTCAGAAAACTGTGGCTTTTCTCCTGACTGACATTTTGAGCCATTTTCAATTTAGATTTATCTATATATATGTTAACGTGAAAAACCGAAATCAAGAGAATGTAGACTTTCACCGGTGAATGTCAACAATCACATAGTCGCTTTGGTGATATGTCCGAAATATTTGTCATATCCATTTTGATATTAATTTATTCGTCGATATTATTATATTTATTCGATATTTTGATATCTGATAGATTAGGAGAAACACCATTGCTTGGAGTATCTGCTAATTGCGTACTGGTCAGCGGCACTTGACCTTTTAAGAAAACGTTGATGTAGGGCATACCGGGCAGTGACACTTAACTAGACCTAGTATATTTTTTGGGCATTTACCAAGGCGATTATGTGACTGCCAACATTCACCGAGTGAAGTCAACAACCACCAATTTCAGTCATTCACAGTAGTATAGTGCGACTTTCAGGAGAACTCCTTCTGACATCAGTCTCGTGTCGTGGCGGGTACCATGGCTACGAGAAAAAGTCACTTCGAATAGGAGTGTGGGTTAAATAGCTTTGTCTTGATCTTGGTATAGATCAGCGTTAGTAATCCAATCGATACCTTCATTTCTCCATTGCACCCTCATTAGAAATGTGCTCACGCTTGTTAACATAGCAGCTGACAGCCCCGACACTAAGTGTGAAGGAGTTCTCCTCAAAGCCGCACAATAACATATATATTACTATGGTGTTACATATTGTCGTACCAATTATTGGTAACGAAGTTTGCCTTTTTCGAGGACTATATTATACGATAAAGTTATGGCTCCAGAGGTGCGGGTGGAAGTAAAGCGCGTAATGCAGCATTGAGATGAGTTTTCTATTATGTCTCACGACAGAAATAATTTTTAATACGTCTGCTGCCTATCATGCTGAAACGTTTTGAACTGATACTTAAGGTGGTTAGTGTGATTCAATGGCTGCCGGACACATTTTAAATTATTACTAATGTAGTGTATCTACCACTACAAAAATATAACTCCAATTCATTAGTATATGAGAAATGTTAACTCGATTTTATGGTGGGGTATCTTTTTATAGATGAAGCTTGACGTTACCGATAACTAGTCACTATCCGCACAACTAAGATTCGACGCATTTTGAAAATATCAGGGACAAATCTATAAAATAGTTAAATTTAAATTAAGATTTTCCGTAAGAGAAAGAAGCACGGAAAACAGTTAGACGGTGATAAAATGTGGTTAATGTAATGTTTAAAACTAATTAAAGTGTTCGGATTGGAAGAGGGGTTGAAGAATTAAAATATTTAAATACAGTTGCGCTGAGCATTTGGTTTGGTTAACATTAAGGTTTATGTGTTATGTAAGATAATTTAATAAGGTAGCCTAGCTCGTCGCCAAAAGTTGGTAGCAATATTGATGCTACAGTCACAAATTTAGCACTTTGTTTCAAGTAAATTTTTTGACAAAAAAGCCCTTATGTCGTTTCTCTTAAAGTTTCAGTTGTTAGTATTTCTGAACTTTCGATTTCAATATGGGGCAATTTGATTCCTTGTTTTGCACTAGCAGTAACTGGAGAATCATATCACGGTATATTATTAAGGTATTAATATTCCCAATAGATGGGAATTGAGCGTAAACGTTAACAAAATTCTAAAACCGGAGCTGAATTTTGAAAATGTCCGGTGTATTTAGGGTGATTTAAATTGATCACGTAGTTTAATCGTTCATAAGATTCTGTAACATATAAATTTCAAAAGATCGTGAGAAATAAATAGATTAAATGGAAATTGATGTTATGACAAAAATAAAGTGTTGGGGTTTGGGTGTTATTTTTAGTTATTTATATTTTATTTTATTTTATATCCGTCATTGAACAGCCGACACAATTTTTGGGTTTCCAACTACTAATGTTCAACTCCGCAGCCTTGTGATTTTGAACCAATACTGAAGACAAGGAAACTCTTAGATCAGTATCCCCAGAGGTATTGATTTGTTAAGGGAACATGGAGGACTTTGCGACTCCACAGATTTACGTGCTTCAGTCACCATTTACAACACGGGGAGTCTTCGGCAGGCGGGGATCGAACCCACGAACTCTTGGACATGGGTCCAGTGCCCTACCAACCAGGCTATCCCGGTCTTAGTTATCTATATGTTCATTTTTTTAGCTTTTCAGCTAAAGTTAAATGTATTTACAAATGGAACCGTTACTAAAATGAGTCCTATTGAAAACAATACAAGCACTATAATATTATTGGATGATGTAATTTTATTTTATTTTAATAATTTATTATTTTAATTAATTATTTTAATGTACTTATTTTAATAAAGCACTGTAATCTTGGAATTGACAGAAACCGTTCTTTTTCCTTATTCTTTATTTCAGAATTTAACTGGTATTTTATTGATGTGATGAACATTCTTTTTATCGTATGTTTAGGTTGTTTTCTCGTGAATTTCTATTAAATATATATATATATATATACATACATACATATATATTTAATCAAGGATTAAATATATATTTCGATTAAAACCTGATTTGTTTGTTTATTGTCATGATGTTACCTTCATATAATTTTAATCTAAATTTTATCTGAATGGGATATCTGCAAGTGACGTAGTGTGGGTATCTCTATCTTGATTGGTTGTTGAAACAGGCATTTGTTTACGTTAGCAACTGTTCTTTTCCTTCCATTTCAAGTAAGCCAAGCCCGTCAAGTATCAATTCTCTTAAGTGGCACATTCTAAAAACCATTCTTTAAGATTATTTCTCAAATGTTTCAATTCTACCACTATATATTTACACAGAGACTTAACACAAAGACAGACACAAAGCCATGTGGAACATAAACTAATTATGCATCGGAGTTGTCAGGTACACAAAACAAATATATATCACAGTTACAATAAAAATAAATATAAGTTAAGTAAAAGAAGTAGACGAGAAAGAATCATCTATTATTAATTCCATGTGCGATACGGCTCTGTATTTAATGAATTTGAGGTTAATCAACACGTAGAAAAAACTTAATAGAGACTTAACTTATGATGTAGAGAAACTCTGCTCAACTTTAATACGCCATTTTGCAGATAAAGATTGGCAAATGTTTTTCTGTATACGTCCGTTTTCATGCTGCGTTGCGTTACTAAAATTTTAAAAGATTTCTGGGTTACTTCCGATTTATTTTTACTTCAAAACTTCGAAAAAGAGCCAATATTATTATGCTAACAGTGTTTACAATATAACGCGTTCTTTCAATTTTTATGCGAAGCAAACAACAAATAAATTCTGAAGACTTCGCAAGCATGCTATGATGCAATTCAAACGATATGAAAGGGTAGGGGAGAGTAGGGTCAATTGTAAAATTTTTTACTTAACTATTTTTAACTAACAAAAAATCCAATATATTATTAGTATTAATTGACAGACGAACAAAGTAGACAATCCTCCACCAGAAAAAATAAATAAATACCTGATTTTAAATGTTATTATATTAGTTATTAACAATTTTTGACAGTNGTAGCCTAGATCATCGCCAAAAGTGGATAGCAATATTGATGCTACAGTCACACATTTAGCACTTTGTTTGTTTCAAATAAATTTTTCGACAAAAAAGTCCTTAGGTCGTAAGTTTCAGTTGCTAGTATTTCTCAATTTTCGATTTCAATATGGGGCAATTTGATTCCTTGTTTTGCAGTAGCAGTAACTGGAGAACCATATCACGATATATTATTAATATTCCCAATAGATGGGAATTGAGTGTAAACATTAACAAGATTCTAAAACCGGAGGTGAATTTTGAAAATTTCCGGTCTATTAAGGGAATTAAAATTGGTACGTTGTTTAACCGTTCATAAGATTCTGTAACATATAAATTCCAAAAGATCGTGAGAAATAAATAGATTAAATGGAAATTGATGTCATGACGAAAGTAAAGTGTTTGGGGTTTGGATGTTATTTTTAGTTATTTGTATTTTATTTTATTTTATATCCGTTTTTGAACAGCCGTCCCAATTTTTGGGTTTACGACTACTAATGTTCAACTCCGTAGCCTTGTGATTTTGAACCAATCCAGAAGACAAGGAAAGGAAACTTCTAGATCAGTACCCCCAAGAGGTATTGATTTGTTATGGCAACATGGAGGACTTTGCGATTCTATAGATTTAACGTGCATCAGTCACCATTCAGCGCCAGACGAAGACCACGGGGAGTCTTCGTCTGGCGCGGATTGAACCCATGAACTCTTGGACATGGGCCAAGTGCCCTACCAACCTGGCTATGCTGGCTAAGCTGTCCATCTCATGACCGGTAGAACGGATCCCACAATATTTCCATTTAGATTTCCACAATATTTCCGCTATCGCTCAGGGCATAGAGCTCTCGCCTTCCAATGTGGTGAACCGGGTTCGAATCCTGATGATGGCTGGGTGATATGCATTCCGCATCCGACTTGCACCGATCACAGTGCAGACGTAAAATATCCTTTGTGGTAGACGGATAAGTTATTTATTTGTATGTTATTTATGTGTTTATTTTTTTAGGTTTCCCGCTAAAGTTAAATTTATTTACAAATAGAACCGTAACTAAAATAAGTCCTATTGAAAACAATACAAGCGCAATAATATTATTGGATGACGTATTTTTTATTTTAATAATTCACTAATTATTTTAATGCACTTATTTTAATAAAGAACACTATTTTAATATAGCACTGTTAACTTGGAATTGACAGAAACCGTTCTTCTTCCTTAATCTTTACTTCGGAATTCAACTGGTATTTTAATGATGTGATAAACATTCTTTTTATCGTATGTTTAGGATGTTTTCTTGTGGATTTCGATTAAATATATTTATATAGATATATTTAATCAACGATTAAATATGTATTTCGATTAAAACCTTATTTGTTTGTTTATTGTCATGATGTTACCTTTATATAATTTTCATCTAAATTTTATATGAATGGGATACCAGCAAGTGACATAGTGTGGGTATCTCGATCCTGATTGGTTGTTAAAACGTGCATTTGTTTACGTTAGCAACTGTTTTTTCCATTCCATTTCAAGTAAGCCAAGCCCGCCAAGTATCAATTCTCTTAAGTGGCACATTCTAAACACCATTCTTAAAGATTATTTCTCAAATGTTTCAATTCTACCACTATATATTTACACAGAAACTTAACACAAAGACAGACACGAAGCCATGTGGAACATAAACTAATGTATCTATGTTGTCAGGTACACAAAATAAACATATATCGCAGTTACAATAAAAATAGATATAAGTTAAGTAAAAGAGGTAGACGAGAAAGAATAATCTAATATTAATACGGCCCTGTATTTAATGAATTTGAGGTTAATCAACATGTAGAGAAACTTAGTAGAGACTTAACTTATGATGTAGAGAAACTTTGCTCAACTTTAATACGCCATTTTGTAGATAAAGATTCGCAAATGTTTTTCTGTATACGTCCGTTTTCATGCTACGCTGCGTTACCAAAGTTTTAAAAGATTTCTGGGTTACTTCCGATTTATTTTTACTTCAAAACTTGGAAAAAGAGCACCATCCAATATTATTATACTAAAACTGTTTACGATATAACGTATTCTTTCAATTTTTATACGAGACAAACAACAAATAAATTCTGAAGACTTCGCAAGCATGCTATGATGCAATTCAAATAATATCAAACGGTACTATTTTACTCAGATGTAGCCAAATAAGGAATAATACTCATAACATGTCAAACCTAACACTTTATTTATGTTTTAATATTCGTTTTCTTAAATTTATTTTGGGCTCACAACCAGTTAAAATTTTTAAATTACAGAAATTCTTATGAATAGTAAAATTAAGCGTAAATTTAATCATAAATTACAATGATAAAACTTCTTAGAATATTAAGCCTGTACACACATAGTCTCGTAAGCATAACATAAGGGGAAGAATACACCAGAAGTTTTCTAAATTTCTTCCGCTTTTAAAAAAAGCTTGTTATTGTTTACATTCAGTCAACCATCCACTCTGATAAGTAATAATACGCTGATTTAGTTCAAACTGACGCATGCGCAAAAGCGCCGAAGGTTTTCTCATTTGAAAATATACAGTAGTCTTTTGCATTTGCTGATATTTTTATTCTACTAACACCTAAAAAAATTTTGTTTTTTCTTCTACTAAATAAACTTAAAAATGTTTTCAGTTATCGTTTAATTTAAACGGAAATAAATGTTTTTTTATTTTTAATTTTTTCCTCTCTTTCAGGTCTGTGGATATGTAAGGTGACGGATATGGATACAGGGAGAACTTGGTCGACGAATTCCATTTACATAAAAGTATTACCTCCTAAGCCGAAATTCGGTATCTATAAAATTCTCATGATTTTGGCCGTCTTAGCTGTATTGACAATTCTAGTGATATTTGCTCTTGCTTTGAAAATCAACAAAGCGAAAAAAAGATTTGGAAACGATCTTATTATTTTTGAAACTCTTTATAGCTCTGATGACAGCGACGATTCAGATTCGACTATCGATAACTTATAAGTTTCTGAACAACGGTACCAATATTTGTACCTAAAACGGAATTAAAAAACCTTTAGAAGATTCAATGATTCATACTCTGAATATTAATAAATTTCCAAAAGGCGTAATACTGTTTAGTTTTTTAAAGCAGAAATAAAATGAAAACCATTTTCAAATATTCATTATCGTCAATAAAGCTCTTTATAATTCTGATGATAGTGTAGCTTCAAATGTTGTTAATTTCCTAAACGAATGTACTACCAATATGTTCTAAACCACAATTAAAATAAAACCAATTTTTATTTATTTTTAATCGTTCATATAACACTATATATATAAAGTCCGGGGACGAACTATAAGATTCTATGTAAAATCTTAACTATCGGGAGTGATACTATACAGCTTTATTGTTTTAAATTATTGTTTATTGTTTGAAACCGGTTTGTACTTGTTTACGTTCGTGTATCAATTGGTTATCATTGTAAAGCAATACGTTAAAAATAAATACAAATAGGAAGTATGTACAAAACCTCCTGAATAAAAACCCCATTACATGTATGTTTAAATATTAAAGTATTGCCTATAAACTCGTGCAAAACACGTAATTATAAAAAAACTACAGTGCGTCTAATAATTTTGTCTAATTATTATAATATACCAATATAATATTTGATATAATATATCGTCTAATTTATCCAATCGTCAAATTTATATAATACATCGTCTAATTTAACCAATTGATACACGAACGTAAACAAGTGCAAATCGGTTTCAGTCGCATTCTATTTTTTATATATGTATATATAAACTCATGTTTATGAAAATTGCAACACCATGAAGGAATCGTCACAATTAAATGAAATTTAATACACAGTTGAGTAGTAGTGGTACAAATAAATGATTAAACTTTCAAAGCAAACAAACAATAACACGAGATCAAAATTAGTATTTTGATTAGCCATCACCCGCCGAAATAAGTGCTGCTACACGATGTGGCATGGAGTCAAGCAAATTTTGAATGTCTGTCAGAGGAAGAGCATTCCATATAGTTTGTACGCGTACCCAAAGTTCGTCTGTGGAAGCAACAGGACGAGGATCGCGAGCGAGACGCCGACCAACGAATCCCACACATGTTCAATCGGCGACATATCCGGGGAATCAGCAGGCCAAGGAAGAAGCTGTACCTGTCACGATGCAAGGAAGGATTGAACAGTCCTAGCAATATGAGGGCGGGCATTGTCTTGTTGAAATACAGCGCCTGTCAAGGCTTGAAAGAAGGGAACAGCTTGGGGCTGTAGAACTTCACTGATGTACCGGTTGCTGTTCAGATTAGCCACAATTCGTAGCAATTGAGATCGTCCATGATATGCTATGGCACCACAGACCATAACTCTGGGTGTTCGTCCACTGTGGCGTTCGATAACGCACTCCGGAAGGTGGCGTTCACCGGCATAACGTCTGACACAAATGTGAAAAGGAATTCGTCAGAAAACACGACACGCTGCCAATCAGCACGCCAGTCCCTATGCTGGTTGGCCCATTGCAGCCGCAGGCGGCGATGGCTTAGCGTGAGGGGGATCCTGTATAAAGGAGTCCTTGCGCGCAGTCTACGCTGCAGCAGACGTCTACGAATTGATGAAGCACGCAATGAAACACCTGTAGCTGTTGGTCACTGTGCTGCCAGTTGTCTAGAGGGAGCCGTATGGTCCGTCAGCGCCATGCGAACCAGGTGTCTATCTTCGCCAGCTGGCGTGACATTTCGGAGTCCACTCCCGGATTTCCGAGTTGTTTGACACTCGTTCGTCCACTGCTTCCAAACACGCATCACTGTGCTGCTGTTACGCTGCACACGATCGGCTACTGCACGATAAGATAATCCAGCTTCCCGAAAGCCGATGATTCTCCCCCGTTCAAACTCCGTAAGTTGTTGAAAACTCGCTCTCTTTCGTCGAAGAGGCATAAGTAACGACCAAGCTAACGTTTACCACAAGCAGATTACCAGTGATAACCATACAAGAATCGCTACAGCCGTCTATTTATTTGGATCCATCAGCCGTTCAGAGGGCGCTGTTCTGCATACGCATGCGTTACGGATCTGAAATTCTAATCATTTGCATATCATGCTCTACTTTGCACTTCCTGAAAATTTCAGCTCACTCGCATAAGTCCTTCATGGTGTTGCAATTTTCACAAACATGAGTTTANTGGGTATTTCGATCCTGATTGGTTGTTAGAACGTGGCACTAATTTACGTTAGCATACTTTCTTCTAGCAATTCTTCCCATTCTATCTCGAGTAAGACAAACTCATCAAGTCTCTTAAGTAACACATTTTAAATTCTTTCACAAAGATTCGTGCTCAAAGATTTCAATTCTTTCATTATTTACACAGAGATTTAACACAAAGACAGGCACCAAGCCACGTGGAACATACACAAACAAATTATGCATCAAAGTTACCTGGTACACAAAATGAACATATATCGCAGTTACAAAAAAATAAATCTAAGTGAAGTAAAAGAAGTAGACGAGAAAGAATTATATTTTAACAAAGTCGATGTGCGATACGGCTATGTATTTTAATTAACATTCTAACTTATGTAAAGAAGCATAGCTCAATTTTAATAGGCCATTTTGAAGATAAAGATTAGCTGGCGCTAACGTCATAAGTCACATGTGTGGGTATGGGAAATCTTCTTGAAGTGCAAGATATATAAACTCATGTTTATGAAAATTGCAACACCATGAAGGAATCGTCACAATTAAATGAAATTTAATACACAGTTGAGTAGTAGTGGTACAAATAAATGATTAAACTTTCAAAGCAAACAAACAATAACACGAGATCAAAATTAGTATTTTGTGTAGCCACCACCCGCCGCAATAAGTGCTGCTACACGACGTGGCATGGAGTCAACCAAATGTTGAATGTCTGTCAGAGGAAGAGTATTCCATATAGTTTGTACGCGTAACCAAAGTTCGTCTGTAGAAGCAACAGGACGAGGATCGCGAGCGAGACGCCGACCAACGAAAACCCACACATGTTCAATCGGCGACATATCCGGGGAATCAGCAGACCAAGGAAGAAGCTGTACCTGTCACGATGCAAGGAAGGATTGAACAGTGCTAGCAATATGAGGGCGGGCATTGTCTTGTTGAAATACAGCGCCTGGCAAGGCTTGAAAGAAGGGAACAGCTTGGGGCTGTAGAACTTCATTGATGTACCGGTTGCTGTTCAGATTACCCACAATTCGTAGCAATTGAGATCGTCCATGATATGCTATGGCTCTCCAGACCATAACTCCGGGTGTTCGTCCACTGTGGCGTTCGATAACGCACTCCGGAAGGTGGCGTTCCCCGGCATAACGTCTGACACGAATGTGGCCATCATGGTACCACAAACTAAAAAGGGATTCGTCAGAAAACACGACACGCTGCCAATCAGCATGTCAGTCTCTATGCTGGTTGGCCCATTGCAGCCGCAGGCGGCGATTGCTTAGCGTGAGGGGGATCCTGTATAAAGGTGTCTTTGCGCGCAGTCCACGCTGCAGCAGACGTCTACGAATTGATGAAGCACACAATGAAACACCTGTAGCTGTTGGCCACTGTACTGCCAGTTGTCTAGAGGAAGCCGTATGGTCCGTCAGCGCCATGCGGACCAGGTGTCTATCTTTGCCAGCTGACGTGACATTTCGGAGTCCACTCCCGGATTTTCGAGTTGTTTGACACTCGTTTGTCCACTGCCTCCAAACACGCATCACTGTGCTACTGTTACGCTGCACACCATCGGCTACTGCCGGATAAGATAATCCAGCTTCCCGAAGGCCGATGATTCTCCCCCGTTCAAATTCCGTAAGTTGTTGAAAACTCGCTCTCTTTCGTCGAAGAGGCATAAGTACCGACCAAGCTAACGTTTACCACAAGCAGATTACCAGTGATAACCATACAAGAATCGCTACAGCCGTCTATTTATTTGGATCCATCAGCCGTTCAGAGGGCGCTGTTCTGCATACGCATGCGCTACGGATATGAAATTTTAATCATTTGCATATCATGCTCTACTTTGCACTTCCTGAAAATTTCAGCTCTCTCGCATAAGTCCTTCATGGTGTTGCAATTTTCACAAACATGAGTTTATATATATATTGGAATAGAATCATATTAATTAATTTCAAAACAAATTCACTCAAATTCCTAAAAACACGCATACTTTGTTTGGATGACTGGGTTACATGTAACAGTTGCGTAACAGAAATACTAAGAAAAAGCTTGTAATTTTGCTTTCTAATTATAGGTTTTTAATTCTAATTAATTCCAATTTCAAGTTTCAAATATTCTATATAATACTGAAGAGAATAGAGTTCTATTAATTAATTAATTAATTAATTAATTAATTCAAAAACGAATTCACTCAAATTCCTAAAAACATGCATATTTTGTTGGATAACTGGGCTACTTTCAACACCGTTCCCGAAAAATAACAGGTACTTTTAAAGACCAGTTGTGTAGAAGAAATACTAGAACAGCAATTCTTAACGATTATTAATCTGCAAATTGTCACAATATTGATTCACTCAATAGTTAAGGAATTCGTATAATGTTACGTTCGTTCCGACATTCATTTCAACATTGTCATTCATCAACTGTCTTTTTCATTAATTTAATCTTCGATAGTGTCGCGATTAAGATGTCAAATCAGAATAAATCACTGTGTGAACGAAATAACTTTTTTTTCATCATCTAAATAAGCATTCTGTTGACAACTAAAAAGGAAATGTCACAAAGCAATGCATTTTTATTGTCGCTGTGACTAACAGAAGAAAAAGATTCCTACACAGACAGGACACAGACAGGAAGAATATTAACCGATTAGGGGTAGTTTAGAAAATTAAAAATATTACCCGTTTCGAACATTAAAAATATTACCCGTTTAGAACATTAAAAATATTACTCGTTTAGAACATTAAAAATATTTCTATACACCTAAAATTAGGCTAAAGAATTATTACTCGTACAGAAATAGTATTTGGATGAAAGAATATTTCTTTAATAGAGATATTAGTCTGAATAATGTAACTCAATAGTGATAGTGTTAGACAGATGGAATATTACTCGAATAGAGATAGTATTAGGCTGTTGGAATATCACTCGAATACAATAATAGATATTTAGAATATAACTAGATAAGATACACAAGAAATAGGACATAAGAAACATTACTCCTACAGAGATAATATCATACTGGAATATTGGAAAATTACTCGGATAGAGATAGTATTAAACTACAGGAATATTACTAGAATGGAGGTAATATTGGACATAATATTACTTTAATAAAGACAGTACAAGACTATAAGAATATTGCTCGAATAGAGATAGCATTAGACGTAATGTAACTCGGACAGTAGTATTATATTGAGTGATTATCCCTCGTTTAGAAATATTCCTTGAATAGAGATAATATCAGATAAAAGAAATAATACTATTAAAAAAAAGCCACTTATTAAACATCAAAAGAGACTTGGTCCATTGACATGGATTGCGATAAGGAAAGCATTATGTTGATTAAAATTCTCGACATTGTTAAAATTTACACTTCCGGCATCTTCTAAGGAGAAGAATAAAGTTCAGTGCCTGCCATTTGAAATTTTTTTTCTTTTTTTTACATTCAATGGGATATCTGCAAGTGACGTAGTGTGGGTATTTCGATCCTGATTGGTTGTTAGAACGTGGCACTAATTTACGTTAGCATACTTTCTTCTAGCAATTCTTCCCATTCTATCTCGAGTAAGACAAACTCATCAAGTCTCTTAAGTAACACATTTTAAATTCTTTCACAAAGATTCGTGCTCAAAGATTTCAATTCTTTCATTATTTACACAGAGATTTAACACAAAGACAGGCACCAAGCCACGTGGAACATACACAAACAAATTATGCATCAAAGTTACCTGGTACACAAAATGAACATATATCGCAGTTACAAAAAAATAAATCTAAGTGAAGTAAAAGAAGTAGACGAGAAAGAATTATATTTTAACAAAGTCGATGTGCGATACGGCTATGTATTTTAATTAACATTCTAACTTATGTAAAGAAGCATAGCTCAATTTTAATAGGCCATTTTGAAGATAAAGATTAGCTGGCGCTAACGTCATAAGTCACATGTGTGGGTATGGGAAATCTTCTTGAAGTGCAAGTACCCAATTGCTGTCACACTGGCCAAAGAAATTATCAATTTGTATTCAAATAATATTAGTTCAATTAAAAGCAAATAAATTCAAGCCTTTGTGGCTCAGAGTAATTTTAACCAAAAAGTTTAGTTTCAGCACTGTGTTCAGTGCGAATCGAGTGCGGAATTCGTACCGACCAGCTATCGCAAGGATCCGAACCAGGTACACCTCATTGGGAGGCGAATGCTCTATTCCCCGAGAAACCACGACTCCAAGTAAATTAATTGTCAATCATTTTCTATAAAAAAAATTAATTAGTTTTTCGTAAAATAATGCTATTTTTTCTGGAATCAGTGGTTAAGTAGTAAGATTCGCTTAGCATTGTAAAGGTAAACTTTATCGGAAAAGAATAATAAAATACGCTATTTTTAACTAAATTTGTTGCTAACAAGTTGTAACACTATTTTTAATTTTAATTTCAGTCGTGGATCATAAAAGTTTCAGAAGAAATTTTTATAGTACAGTTGCATTTAAAAGTAATCAGTATCAACTTGCTAATATTTCTTCATACTGACCCAGATTGAATCCAGTTCCCATCATTGGAAGGCGAACGCTTTATCCTCTGAGCCATCACGAATCTGTCAACAAAATTACTTTTTATTTTATTTTATAACCGTCCTTGAACAGTCGATCGAATTTTTTGGGATTACGACTACTAATGTTCAACTCCGTAGTTTTGTAATTTTGAACCCGATCAAGAAGACAAGAGAACTTCTGGATTAAGTATTGAGAGAAATTTGTCTTCGTGGAGGACTTTTTGATGGAACTAGCCAGCATTTGCGTTACATGGAGAGGAAAGCCACGAAAACCTCCCGCGGTTAGCCAGATGGCAAGGAGACTCTAACCCATGATCCGTCTACCACTGAGGATATTTTATGTCAGCACGGTGGTCAGTGCAAGCCGGTCGCGGGATTCGAATCGACCAGCAATTGCTGGGATTCGAACCCGATTCGCCACATTGGGAGGCGAGAGCTCTATCCCCTAAGCCACCATGGCTCGAACAAAATTATTATCATTATTTTTAATTTTTTATTATTAATTAAATTTATTTATTTATTTTTTAATAGAACTCTGCATCTGAATAAACATTCTGTTGACCACTAAAAAGGAAAATTTGCAGGGCAATAAATTTTAATTGCCGCCAAGACTAACAAAAAAAAGATTTCCGTCGACGACTGTAATGTAGTCATTCGGTTGTTTAACATTGAGAGAGATTAAAAGAAATATCCTAGATTTTATGAGTTGTAGTTGGTCAGCAAATAGGACATAAAACAGAGACACGAGGGATTAAATAACAGGTTTAGGGAAAGTCGTTACCATTAAAAGGATTGAATAGGGAAAATTATTTAATTTCTGTGTAGGGATATTTAAAAACAATGCAGGTGAGTAAGGTCATAATATTGGTGTATCATTAGAATAAGGTAAAAAATAATGCGTGTTATCTGTTACAAAATAACGGCTACTGAAGGAACATCTGAAACACCAGTAACATTTTTTAAAACATTTAAAGGAGAATTTAAAAAATATTTGCATAATTTTATTAGTTTCTGATTGCACTAGCTGCGTTCACCAAGGTACCAAAGTGTCTTTGTTCGGTTTTAGCAAATGTAAAGTTTTTTTTCCTTGTAAGCGATCAAAGTATTGTTTATCCATGTTAAAAGTAATTGTTAATAAATATTTATTATTTTTAAGAGTAATTTAATAACGGTCGAATAATTTTTTGAAAGGTAAACAGTTTTTTTACGCCGTTTTAAACTATGTAATTTTAAATTAAGCAATATAAAATTTTAGCAAACTTTTACGAATAATTCTTACATAGTTAAACATGAAGCGAAAACTTGTATACCTTGCAATTCAATATTTTTTTACTATTATTAACACTAGAAAGACTAAAATACCTATATTGCCCAAACGCAGTCAAAATGACTGCATTGTGAAAGAATAACTAATGTATGAAGAAATTTGTTTAAAATTAATTTTTAATATATTTTTGATATTATTTTCAGTTATATAACAAGTTATTAGTAAATATCAAGAATGAAAATAATTATAAAAGTCACAAAATTCTAAGAAATTTGGACACACAGAAAATTGCTAAATAAAGTAATACAAATTAGATAAGTTAAAGAAAAATATTTTATACACATAATTATTTTTGGATAAACGAATTATATAATTGTATGCAAATTGTTTTTTGAGCGTAGGTCAAACTTCCGTCCTCTTTTATACTATTCAATCCGCTTGTTCATGTCGAACCACCAGAAATTTCCATCATTTTTTCTTAGAAATCAAATGTTGGAACGATCATGAACCACCATCACCCCAATATAGTAATTCGGACTGATTTATGATGGACCAACATGAAAAACTTAATTGTTTGATGGTATATTCCTGCTGAACCAACAAGAATTGTTATTAAACCATCAGGGAGAAGCATTGTTGTACCATTATGAACCATCACGAACTTCCATCATAGTAACTTAGAAATCAAATGTTAGAATGGTCATGAACAACCATCATCCCATTGTAGTAATTCGGATTGATTCAGGATGGGCCAACATGAAAAACTTAATATTTTGATGATATATTCCTGCTGAACCAACAATAATTCCCATTCAATCATCATGGAAAAGTATAGTTGAAACTATCATGGACAGTCT